GGTGTGAATTCAGCGTTTCAACAGCTGATTCAGAATATGAACAAAGGAGTTAGTGAGCCTGAGGAATCAGATTTGAAGGTGAGCTTCATTTGTTCTGTCTCAGATAAGCTTAAGAAATTGGTAGAGTTTTCACACAACTTGTTGCTCTTTCTCGTTTGTTTGGATTTCTTGCAGATTCTTAGGAATATGTTCTTGTTCGAGTATCTTGTTCATTTTCTTAAGTTAGATTTCACGCCACGACATCAAGTGTATGAAGGTACAAGTTGTATCTTCATAGTCTCAAGATTTCTCTTTATCTTGTAAAGTTTGAGGAAAATTTCACAAGTTTGTGTCCTTTTATGCTCTAGAAACCATGGACTGGAGTCTTTTAAAGGAATCCTCACTGAATCTACTTCTGGTAATTCCATAACCAATGGCTCAAAAACTGATATAGTTCCTCAATTTATCCGTAGTTTAATGTTGTGGTTCCGCTTGTAGGCTTCAAGAAAAGTGAATTTCAAACACCTAATGAAAGATTGCCTATCTACAATGTGTGCACTCGTTGATCCTAGTGAAAAGTCGATCAGTATGGTAGAGTTGCAAAAGGGATCACTTTCTGCTATGAAGGAACTTCTAGTAATGGTAAGTCATTGGTTATTATTGGAGTACATATAGAGTTACTATTTTTGGTGTTCTTTACTCTCACATTGCTCTGCCTTGTTTAGATCATGGAGCTTGATGCATCAAAGAAGAAAGCTGACATAGAAGGCGTTACTACAAGAGGAGACGGCGTAAGGTAATCGCAAGTTCATTTTCTGGTGAAATCTGTCTTTCTTTGTTCGTGTTTTCGTTGTGTTCTTGATCCATATTGACACAGGACTCCTGCGTTGGAGATCATTGTGGACGAGCTAACTTACGACGGATACCTACTGTCAAGTTTTCTTCAGGTAAGATACTAACCACTTCTGAAGCTCTTGTTTTGTATAGTTCTTGAGTGAGAACTTCTCTTGCAGGTTTTCGACAATCCTAAATGGAAGCTAGAGATTGTTCTTCAATACCTCACCAAATACATTACTAAGGTTTATTTAATCCTCTAATTTCTCTGTGGTTATTTTTTCCAACAAATGGTGTGTTCAATCTAAAAAAATTCCTTTCTTGTTGCAGCCTTCAGTTCGTACTCGAAGATCAAACGGTCCTCCTGCAGATGAATCCAAAACGCTAAATGGGATCTTGAAGTCCTTTTCAAATGGCACAAATGCAAAGAACATCACCAAAAAGATAGGACCTGGCATTGTTCAAATCCTCATTGGACATGCCTTTCTGGTAATAACAAATATCTTTGTTTCGCCTTTCATGTTCACCTAGCTTTTCTCGCCTCCTGGTTCGTAATTTGATTAATTTATTATACTCAGGCTCAGCTCACATTCGCTAACGCAAATGAAGGCGACTCTCTAACAGAGATATGCAATAGTGTCATATCTGCATTTACTAATCTAAAGCGAGTAGATCAGTAAGCTACATTTCTCGTACTCTTAATTCTTTGTTATATAGCTTTCCTTCTCTTAATTCAAATGTTTCATGGTTCTTACAGGAAAATCGAGATTTTGCCATTTGGGAAGGAAGTGCTGTTTACTGCAGAAATGGTTCTCAAGGCAAAAGCTTAAGACATCTACGAATCAAGATTTTAGAAAATCTAGGGGCTTACATTGGATTAAAAGTAAAAAAAGCTTACATGTAATGTAGGGCTTAACAGTTACAGTCCAATGAATTATGAATGTTTCACACGAATATATATATCCTATGATTCTGTTGATGCCTTTGTCTCATTCCTGAAACAAATCGAGACTTGCTTTAGTAACAAACCAAATGCCTGATAAGTTTATGCAAAACATCTTTGCTTACTTGGAGGATTGGGGTGACTCGAGCTGCATCGTGACTGGACCGTCGTTTACAAGATTGACCTTTAAATTGTGATTTAAAGGTAATGTATAAGCAAGAGAACTTCTTTTAATCACACAAGGTAAGGAATTAAACTTAGCTATTGAAAAGATTTTATCTCTGACCTTCATCATAGCTCCAAAAACACCATCTGTAATAAAAAAAACAGTAAACCAATTCAGTCAAGCACAAAAATGTGAAGTTTTGCTCAAGAAACATCAAGGAGAGCTTTATAACCTTTCACTGCATCATGTTTATATGCTTTCTGGAATTTCTCGACTAAAGAAGCGTAAAACGGTTTAGCTTTCTCAGGCGGCATTGCGACATGAAAATCGGGTTTGTTACCTTTCAAGAATCCGTACAATGTAAACTGACTAACTGCATTAAAACATGATCCAATGATCAGAGCAAGCAAATGACACAAATTGAAGTACATTTTACCACAAACACATTTTAGAAAATTTGCATTACCAAGTAAAACTTCATAGTTCCTCTGCATTACCTGCAACATGAAAATTTGCATTTTGGTTTTAAATATTGAAAAAACGAAAATTTTCAATTGAAACAAAGATTTGTTGGAAAAAAAACTTACATTTTGGTCCCATCCTTTGCCAGTGGTTTCATTATCGAACAATCTCATGTTTAAAACTTTCCGACATCTATAAAATCGTTTAAAATTACACAATCTGCAATCTTTTTAGATGGAAAGAATTAAGATTAAAAAATTTGAGATTTTTTCAAGCATACATGTAATCTGCGTCAGAATCTGTATCTGATTCATGGATTCCGATTAAAACTAAGAGACCAGGTCCAATCTCCGACACGATTCGACCATCCACCTGTCAAAATCTCCGGAGGTCAAACACAGAACAACGATCTCGAAAGAGAGAGAGTACAAACAAAAACTGACCGTGACGGAGGAAGATGAGACTCTTTGGATTAAAGCTCTCATTGCTCTGATCTGAGAATTTCGACGGCGAAGTTGCAGATTTTTGCGGCGGAGATTGCGGCGGATGAGTAAAGGTGAGAGCTTGATGCAGCGGAGTGGAGTCGTGTAGGAAGAAGAAGCAAGACTATACATTTTCTTTTTCATTTTTTCCTTTTTCCCAAAATAATATTTCTACGAAAGGATAACCGAATTAAACCGAACAAAATTGACAGTTTCTGAAAATCGACATTGAACCAGAATGTTAAGTTACTAATCGGTGCCGATTTGTTTACACTGAACCAAAATATTCAAATTTTTGGGTTTAGATTGATAAACCGAACCGAAACCAACTGCATAATGTTAGACCGGAACCTTGGTTTGAGGTGTAAAATAGCCGGTAACCGACTCGCCGTCGCCGAGATTTAAGTCCGTCGTGAACAATCAAAGACGAATAAAAAGTGAGAAAAGAAGAGACTTTACACATAAAACTGAAACAACCGAAGAAGGCAAGCAAATCTCTTGAGAGGAAGAAAAAAGATGGCGTTTTGGAAACCAGGGACTGAGAAACCTCGATTCGTCGAGGATGAAGAAGGAGGTATAGTGCTCATGTCGAACAATCTCGCATCGTCTTCTTCGTCTTCGTCGAGGTATGCCAGTCAATCTCTCTCTTTCTCATGCTCGGTACTTGTTGTTCTGCAGATGATTGTGTACTTATTATGGGTTGGAATTTTGTAGTTATGGGTATGCGAATATAGAGAAGCAAAGACACAGATTGCCAGTGTACAAGTACAGGACTGAGATTCTCTATTTGGTAGAGAATCACGCTACAACCATTATCGTCGGCGAAACGGGTAGTGGCAAAACTACTCAGATTCCTCAGGTTTCTTCTTTGCTCTTTGTGCTTAGTGATTCTTTTGAGGGAAAACACACAGCTTTGCTTATTTCAGGGTTATTAGACCAATTGCCAAAGTTTGATAGAAGTTAAAGGTTTCAAATTTGCAATGTAACATAAACCTTACTCAATCTTGTTAAATCCTGCAATGTTTAAGCTCACTAGCTGTTGGGGAAGTTGGAGAGATCGGAGAAATCCTCAATTCAATCACTAGCAGGATCTTCTTGTTTCGTGCCTGCGAGTTTATTTCTCTAAGTTTTAATAATACTTTGTCTATAATGTGTTGCAGTACCTTAAAGAAGCTGGATGGGCGGAAGGTGGCCGAGTTATAGCTTGTACACAGCCAAGACGTTTAGCTGTTCAGGTTTGTTTTCTCTCCTTCCACTTCATGTTACAGCTTAATTTTTGTAGATTGAGGTCTGCTCAAGTTTGGAAACTTGATCACATATACTCATTGTTTTGTGATTTCTAAAGGCTGTTTCTGCGAGAGTGGCTGAAGAGATGGGAGTGAATCTTGGGGATGAAGTTGGCTACACAATTCGATTTGAAGATCATACAACTTCCGTGAGATTCTTTCCTTAACACTCTTGTACTTTTTTGTTATTGTATGGAAGTGTTCTGATGATGCTTAAAAATATCATTTGCTTTGTTATTACAGGGTGTGACTTGTGTGAAATTTCTCACAGATGGAGTATTAATCCGAGAGATGATGGAAGATCCTCTCTTGTCAAAGTATAGGTAATGATTTTGTCGCACAGCATTATCTCGTTCGAATCATGATTTAGGTAAGCATATATTTGTTGGTAGATCCTTCTCTTATTTGTCATTCTGCAGTGTTATTATGGTAGATGAAGCTCATGAGAGATCTATTTCAACTGACATTTTACTGGGTCTCCTTAAAAAGGTATATCTTTAAGCCATAGTCTTCGTCAGATTGAACTCTTTTAGTTTACTGTTTGCTTTCCTCAAATCCTATAAATTGTCAAATTCCAGATCCAACGTCGTCGTCCTGAGCTGCGCCTGATTATCTCGTCAGCCACAATCGAAGCAAAAGCAATGTTCAATTTCTTCAATTCCAGGTTCTGATCTTACCCAATGGTTATATTTCTTTGCTCCTGAATTCTTGGGATCTTGGAATCACTAGTACGATAAATCCTAATACATTATGTAAAAATTAAATAGCAAAAAACGCCAGGCGCCAGAAGGTAGTACCCATGGACCAAAGTTGGAACCTGCAATCTTATCTGTAGAGGTATATTGTAACTCTTATCTTGCTTAAGATCATTCTCTCTAACCCTTGTTTCTATGTGATATTTAGATATCTCTCTTTTTCGGGTGAAATTTTCTTAGGGCAGAGGCTTCAGTGTGAAAATTCACTATGTTGAGGAGCCTGTTTCAGATTATATCCGATCAGTTGTTTCAACAATACTGTCAATTAATGAGCGGGTACTTTATTTTGATATTTTCTTACCATTCAATGTGTTACTTTCATGGGATGTGATCTCTAAATTATCTCTTATTATGTTCAGGAGCCACCTGGGGATGTTCTTGTATTTCTTACTGGTCAAGATGATATTGAAACTGCTATTAAATTTCTCGCAGAAGAAGCTCATAGTAAACAAAAGAATTCTTCAGGTATAAAAAAATGTTTGTACACGCATAAATAAGATCATGTCATTCTATTTTAGCGTTCGCATTTAACACCATAATATAAATTATATCTATTTCAGGACTACTCCCTCTGCCACTATATTCAGGACTTTCGCGAGCAGAACAGGTTGATTATTGTTGCATGGCTCTAAACAAGCTAATCTATACTTTTGAGAGTATTCAAAACTATAAAACTGACTCCACGGAATGTTGTTTCCTCTGTTCTTTATATTAGGAATTGATCTTTACTCCAACCCCCAGAGGAAAGAGAAAAGTTATACTCTCAACAAATATTGCAGAAACATCATTGACTCTAGAGGCAAGGTTTCTTAGTTACTGTCTCATGGAACAAACAAATGTTTACTGCATACAAATATTGCTGACGCATCATTGAGAATAACTTTATGTATCGTTTCTTTCTTTCTTTAGGGGGTTGTCTATGTGATTGATAGTGGTTTCTCGAAGCAGAAGTTCTATAACCCAGTAAATCATCATCATTCCTTTTGTTTATATCTTTTAGTTCCGTCTTTTGTAATATATTAGGCATTTCTAAAACATCTTACATTTCTTCCCTCGCAGATTTCAGATATTGAAAGTCTTGTCGTGGCACCAATATCCAAAGCATCTGCTAGACAGAGGTCTGGTAGAGCTGGGCGAGTTCGGCCCGGAAAGTGTTACAGGTAATTTTATATTCTTGTATAAAGGTGACATATGTATGTGTGATTTATGGCGTTAGTTGTAATTGTTAATTTTTTTTTGGTCGGGTAGTTGTAATTGTTAATGATTGTGGTATATGTCTCTCATTTCAATCTGACTATATGCTGTTAATTGCTTTGACATTAATCATCTTTGTGGTACCTAGGCTTTACACTGAAGATTATTTTCTCAACCAAATGCCTGGAGAAGGTATACCGGAGATGCAGAGGTCGAATCTTGTTTCTACGGTGATACAGGTACAAAATTTGCTCAGCTCGTGTCATTTACTTTTTTGTTAAGAATTCGCATGTGGAAAATTACAAAATTTGTTTATTAATGTCAAGCTCTGTTGATTTTTTGTTTTCAGCTAAAAGCTTTGGGTATAGATAATATCTTGGGTTTCGATTGGCCTGCACCTCCATCCCCAGAAGCAATGATCCGGGCACTTGAAGTACTTTATTCACTTCAAATCCTCGATGATGATGCAAAACTCACTTCGCCAACAGGATTCCAAGTTGCAGAACTTCCACTGGTACTTTTTCTTTGTAACCTTGAGTTACTTTTTGTCCAATGCTCATCTAAAATATTAAGTTCATTTGCATTTTCTACTGCATMATTACATCTCTCGGTTTCGTTATGTTTGTTAGGACCCAATGATATCGAAAATGATTTTAGCTTCAAGTGAGCTTGGATGTTCAGATGAGATCATTACAATCGCTGCAGTTCTCTCGATCCAAGTAAAAGTTCTTTGCCCCTTTTCCTCTGCCAACATTTTATTTTCTTTAAATGCATAACATCATAAAGAACATATTGCAAAATTTGTAATGGTTTGCTTTCTATGTGATTTGAAACTAAATGAATGCAATCTTGAATATATTTATATGCAGTCGGTTTGGGTCATTGCCAGGGGAGTACAGAAAGAACAAGATGAAGCAAAACTGAGATTTGCAGCCGCCGAGGTATATATTGCTCTATATACTTTGATCTAATCATATCTCCGAAAATCTGTTTTGACTGAGTAATCATCGTTCTTGTCTTTTCAGGGTGATCATGTCACATTCCTGAATGTATACAAAGGGTTTATCGAGTCGAAAAAGTCTTCACAATGGTGCTACAAGAATTTCCTCAACTACCAATCGATGGTGAGCTAATAACAGAACTGACAATTAGACCTTATATTCCTTTCTTGTCCCCAATTTTTAATCTGTTTCCATTTCCTTTTGCAGAAAAAGGTGGTTGAAATCAGGGATCAACTCAAAAGGATTGCTAAGAGATTAGGTATTACCCTGAAATCATGTGACAGAGACATGGAGGTAAGAAACTGTACCACCTTGCTTCAATGCAAAAATGTTGCAGGTAAGTTACATTATATACTACTATGTTTCAGGCTGTGAGAAAAGCAGTGACTGCAGGGTTTTTCGCCAATGCATGCCGCTTAGAAGTAAGTTATCCATTTTGATTCTCTGTTTCTGCAAATCCGAGAAATCAACATTTCATCTTCTTCTTTTTTTATGATGTTTTAGCCACATAGCAATGGAGTATACAAGACCATTAGAGGCTCTGAAGAAGTTTATATCCACCCGTCATCCGTATTGTTCAGGTTAGTAGTATCCTGTTGCAATGGATTAAGCGAAAACCTCAATAACATATAAAAAATCTTTTGAATTTGAAAGCTTATTTGATAATGTAATCTCTATACAATCTTCAGGGTGAATCCGAAATGGGTGGTTTACCAATCCATTGTCTCAACAGAGCGTCAATACATGCGGAATGTCGTCACCATCAATCCTTCTTGGCTGACAGAAGTTGCTCCACACTTTTACCAGAACCGGCAAAACGCTATGGCCTTATAATCAGCAAGCTAGCACCAGCGATTCAAGACAGTAATAACAATTTGGCCCTGTAACGTTTTTTTATAGTTCTATTGAAAAGAATGTTTGTAGATGAAAAGAAACAGATTTCTATTGAATCAATGATTTGAACAACTCAACTTCATGTAGAAAACATCAACTCTATATTCAATCAGATTTGCCTGTTTATTGTTTCTGGTTCTTCTCACTGTTTACAGAGGAAGAAAATGATGAAAGAATCAAATCTTCTCTTCAGCTGAAAATCTCGGCGAACTTCTCAGAAACTAGAACTCCTGAATCAATTGACTCCAGTGGGTCTTTCCTGAGACGGTGCCTTAAGCAGTTAGGGATAACGGTTGCAACATCTTCTGCAGTTACTCGATCTTTTCCTTTGAGAGCTGCAAGTGCTTTGGCTGCTCTGTTAGTCACGATGTCTCCTCTCAACCCGTCGACATTGAGCTCTGAACATACCCTGGAGATCTTCACCTTCAATTCCCGATCAATCTGAACCGCTGAAAGATTGCTTCTCGCAGTTGAAATCTGGTCTTGAAGCTTCTCCTGCTCGGTTTTGTAAGTTTCACGGAAATCCTTTGGGTTACTATCGAAACGAGCTCTCTCTTCCACAATCTTGACTCGTAAATCAGCATCTCTAACTGTCCCTACTTGCGCGTGCATTCCAAACCGGTCAAGAAGCTGTGGCCTAAGCTCTCCTTCTTCTGGATTTCCCGAACCAATCAAAATAAACCTCGCAGGGTGAGAAATCGAAATCCCTTCTCTCTCAACCGTATTCCAACCCGAAGCAGCGGAATCCAAAAGAACATCAACCAAATGATCATCCAAGAGATTAACTTCATCAACATACAGTATCCCTCTATTGGCTTTAGCCAACAAACCAGGCTCAAATGCTTTTACACCTTCAGTTAAAGCCTTTTCGATATCAATCGTTCCACAAACTCTATCTTCCGTTGCACCTAACGGAAGATCAACCATATTGATCTTAGTCGCAATAACTGGAACTTGCTCTCCTCTTTCGACTCTCTCTCTTACCTCAACACCCATAAACTCAGGATCTAAAGGATCAGAGTTATAAGGGTCACCTGCAACTACCTCAATCTCGGGTAACAAATCGACTAACGACCTAACCGTAGTCGATTTCCCGGTTCCTCTATCTCCCATTATCATCACACCACCAATCTTTGGATCAATCACATTCAACAAAAGACATAACTTCATCTCATCTTGTCCTACTATAGCTGCAAATGGATAAACCGGCCTTGCACTTTTCTTTGAATCAAACTTCCCCGCCTAAAAAAAACCCAAAACCACCATTAACATCAAACAAACAATATCATATTCTCAAGTAAAGTTTCAATCTTTTAGTGAAACAAGACTCGTACTTGTTCAACAGAGTTGATTTCTGTGGCTACATTCATAACCAAACGAGACCTGTTCTTCTTTGGTCTAATTTGGATTCCTGAATTTAACTTTCTTCCACATATTTTCCCTGTAAATACGAAGAATTTTGCTATTCAAATTCACCAGACAAAACAAAACAGCAAGGGTTTTAAGGTTTTGAGAGATTTGTTGGGTTTTTACCTGGCTTGAAGCAAATGGGGGAGATTGAAGGTGTT